AAAAAAAAAAAAAAAACCTTTAAGGAAAGGATGATGACATTGACTTGAATGTAGAATCACAAACAGAAATGATAAAAAAGAACCAATGAGAAATCTGTAGTTAAAAAGTACAATAACTGAAATGAAATGTTCATTCAAGAGGCTCATTTGCAGGTTAGAGATGGCAAAAGAAGAACAATTAGTAAATTTGAGGATAGATCAATAGAAATGATCCACTCTGAATAACGAGAAAAATCACCAGGAACTCAAAGACCTGTGAGACAACATCTGGCACACCAACAAGTATGTCATGGAGCCACAGAAGAAGATACAGAAAAAATGCTCCCAATTTTTTTTTTTAAAGTATTACATGAAAACTTCCCAAACTTGATAAAAAAATTACTTCATAGAGCCAAAAAGATACATGAACCGCATGTAGGAAAATCACAGCGATCCACACTTACATACATCATAGTCAAACTGTTGCAAAAGAGAGAAAAATCTTGAAAGTGTAAGGCAGAAGTGAGACATTATATACAGAAGAACAACATTAAGATTGACAACTGACTTCTCAGAAGCAACAGAGGTCAAAGGTGTGGAGTGCTATGCAGTTGACCCCTGAATGACATGGTTTTGAACTGTGTGGTCCACTTTGACATGGAGTTTTTACAATACAGTACTGTAAATGTATCTTCCTCATGCTTTTCTTAACATTTTCTGAAGCTTGCTTTATTGTAAGAAGTACGTAATACCTATAGCATGTAAAACGCTTGTTGATCAACTGTGTATGTTATCAGCAAAGATTCCAGTGAACAGTGTAAGGTATTAATAGTTAAGTTTTGGGAGGGAGCCAAAAGTTATACATGGATTTTCAACTGTGTGGGGCTTGATTCTGCTCAAGTCTGCATTGTTCAAGGATTAGCTGTATTCACTGCTCAACGAAAAAGCTGTCAACTGATAATTCTGTATCCAGCAAAGGTATCTTTCACAAATTAAGCAAAATAAAGACTTGCCCAAGTAAGCAAAGAAACCGTTGCTAGTGGGTTTCCTTTACAAGAAATAATAAAGAAAGTTCTTCAGGCAGAAAGGAAGTAGTATCAAATGCTATGTTGAATTCTTAGGAGGAAACGAGTGCTGGAAATGGTTAAATATGGTGGGTAAATAGAAAGCCCTTTGTGAGTCTATATTTTTCCTCTTTTTAAAACTGTATAGTTGTATGAAACTAATTACAGCACTGTTTTGGGATTTATGCAGCTGTGTGTTAATATGTGTGACAGCAATAGGACAGAGAAGGAAGATGGACAAGAAATGGCACTTGGACAATTGAATCCATATGAAAAAATGAACGGAGACCCTTACTACACACAAAAAGTAAAACAGTGGATCCTAGACTTAAAGATAAGAGCTAGAATAGTACGACTTTGAGAGGAAAATATAAGAGAACTCTATGTGCTAGGGCTAGGCAAAGAGTTCTTCCATACGATGGTAAGAATATGAGCTATAAAAGAAAAAAATTGATAAAGTGCACTTCGTTAAATTGAAGAACATTTACTTTTTTTTTTTTTTTAATGTTTATTTATTTTTGAGAGAGACAGAGACAGAATGTGAGCAGGGGAGGGGAAGAAAGAGGGAAACACAGAATCGGAATCAGGCTCCAGGCTCTGAGCTGTCAGCACAGAGCCTGATCTGGGGCTCAAACCCACGAACCGTGAGATCATGACCTGAGCCGAAGTTGGATGCTTAACTGACTGAGCCACTCAGGAGTCTTGAAAAACATTTACTTTTTAAAACATAATATCACAAAAGTGAAGCTATAAGCTGCAGACTGAGTAAAATATTTAAAAATCACGTCTGAAGAGGGTTTGTAAGCAGAATAAAGAAATCTTATAACACAATAATAAGGTAGTTACTCCAATTAAAATATCGGCAGACTTCTAGAGTAGACATTTATATCAGCAAACGTTCTCCAAAGAAACAGCCAGTAGTAGTGTGTGTGTGTGTGTGTGTGTGTGCGCGCGCGCGCGCGCACGCACACGTGTGCACATGTGCACGTATGTGTTCAGAAGAAATGTATTAAAAAGAATTGGCTCATACCATTATGGAGACATGATGGAGATTGAGAATTCCAAAGATATGTAGTTGGCGAGATAAAGACCCAAGAGCATTTGTTTGGTTCCAGTCCAAGTCCAGAGGTCTGAGACTCAGAGCTGGTGGTGTTAGTGTCAGTCTGCACTTGGGCAGAAACAAGACCCAAGAAGAGCCTGTGTTTTAGCCAGAATCCCAAGGCTGGGAAAGAACAAGGACCCAGCTCAACAGTCAGTCAGGAACTGTTCCCTCTTAGCTTTCTTGTTCTATTCAGGCCTTTGATTGGTTGGATAAGGCCTACCAGTGTTAATCTGCTTTACTCAGTCTACTGATTCAAGTGTCAATCTTTCCCAGAAAGACCATTGTGGAAACCCCAAATAATGTTTGGCTAAATGGCATTCTGTGGCCCAGTCAAGCTGACACATAAAAATTATTACATTTACCAAGCAAGACATACATTTGGCTAATAAACACATGAAAAGGTGCTCAATGTCATTAGTCATTATGGAAATACATAATTCATTTGAACCACAATAATAAATTACTTCCCCCTAGGATGGCTATTGTCACAAAAGTTACAGTGTGAGGTCTTGGTGACAATGTGGGGAAACGCAAACACTCATACGTTGCTGGTAGGATATAAAATGGTACCCCACTTTGGAAAACCGTTGTTTCATACAAAGGTAGGTATAAATTGACCACATGACCCAGCAATTCCATTCCTAGGAATCTATCCAAGAGCAGTAAAAACATATGTCCACATAAAGACTTGGACGTGAATGTTCCTAGAAGCATTATTCTAATAGGTATTAATTGGAAACAGTTCAGACATCTACCAGCTGGTCAACAGATTAACAAAATGTGATATATTTTGGAATGGGAGCAAGGGTGGAGTACAACTAAGCTTGGGACAATTTGGGGGGTGATGGAAATGTTCTAAAACAGGGTTTTGTGAAGACGGTGCAGTTGTGTGTGTTTCTTTAAAAGTCATTGAGTTGTAGACTCGTCATGGGTGAATCTTATAGGATGTTAAAGTTATAAAAAGTTACAGAAAATACTCTGTGTAATAGGCAAAGGACAAAGTAAACATGGAGAACAGTAATTGGAGAATCTGAAGGGGATGGGAATTCTTTGTACTGTTCCATATTTTCTCAACTGCAATTCAGGCTTTCCAAGTTCTAAAAATTTTTATGACTCTTAGAAATAGTCTGATTGTCTTTTGTTATATTAAAAAAACCAGTTTAAAACCTTGTGTTTGTTTTTAAAAAAAACAACCCTAAAGTGTCATTTTATCTCAGCTTTTTAATTCTTTATTTCTTGGATTTGCTGTTTGCTCTCAGCAGATAATCTGCTTTTGCATTTTTTTTAATCCCCCAGCGGTACAGTTGGCTGGCAGGCACAGTGCTCCGTGAGCCCTCCCTGCTTCATCCACGCGTGTGGTTGACGCTTGAGGGGGTGCCTACCTTGCGGAATGCCATCCTGAGGGTATTTTTGGTTCTGTCATCTGTGCAGTAGAAAAAGGTGCAGATATTGTAGGCAAAGCACTTTTGATGGCAGGGTATGCACACAGCTGTTTTTCTCTTTGGCATTATTTCTTAGGACAATGATCATATCTTCTGTTGTTTTTTTTTGGTGTTTGTTTCGTAGAGGAAGAAGGTAAATTAATACATTTATTGAGAGCAGTAAATGAAAGTGAAGTTCTGTGACCCATGCTAATGTGTGTTTATATGCTTTGTTTGAAGGTCATTCTGTGAGACTACTGGGTCAGAAAAAGAATAACGGAAAGCGGTTGGGTGGAGCGCCATTGGATTTGCCAAAGATCAGGAAGAATCCACTGATAGAAATCATTTCCATCAATACTGGGTAAGTGTCTCTCAAACTTGCTCATAAAATATTTAGTATACTCCATCCACAAATTCAGGTTTTTTTCCTACCGGACATGTGACAGAGTAAAGCAACTGAACGTTTTCATGGGAAAGAAAAATCAAAAATCTCTAAACCACGTGAATATAGTTCCCGCTAAAAGATGTTCCCAGGGTATAAATTACACTTATATTTCGGGAAGAGTTTAGGTTTTGATTAATATTATTCTGACTTCTTTTTGGTAATAGACATGGATTTTGTTTTCTAGCCATGCACCCGGGTTAAAATATTTTTTAAAAGAGTGTTTTGGGGGTGCCGTGTGGCTCAGTTAAGCGTCCAACTTGGCTCAGGTCATGATCACGCGGTTCATGGGTTCCAGCCCCGCCTCAGGCTCTGTGCTGTCAGCACAGCTCATCGAGTTATATGCTTGCAATGGGTGAATCTTACAGGATGTTAAAGTTATAAAAAGTCACAAAAAACATTATGTATGTAATCGGCAAAGGACAAAGTAAACCTGGAAAAACAGTAATTGGAGAATCTGAAGGGGAGAATCTGTGCTGACAACTCAGAGCCAGGAGCCTGCTTTGGATTCTGTGTTTTCTTCTCTTTCTGCTCCTTCCCGCTCGTGCTTGCTCTCTCTCTCTCTGTCTCTCTCTCTCAAAAAATATATAAACATTAAAAAAATTGTTTTTTAAAAGAGTGTTTTGTTGTTGGAATGGTTAACATACCCAATCATCTTTGTTTTTTTTTCAATAGGGTTATAAGTAAATAATACCCAAGATACTAATCATGGTTTGATTATTAATTCCCTGAAATACATGTTTGAAAATGTTGCCCTTTTGAGCTTTAAACTGAAAATGAGCATGGTAACTGAATATTAAGCACTCTTAATTTCCACATCTTTGTCTGAAGTTCTTCTCCCTTACTGTAACTCTTGGTGAGCCCATTCGTACTTGGTTTTATTTGCATTTACTGAACTTGCAGTCAATGTTAGTGTAGTCTGAAAGTCTGATGAGGCCGATTCCCTCCTCCATTCATAAAACTTCCTCCCACAAAGGCAAGCTGTCCTGCTTCTCTTTGATTTCGGCTTTCTTCCTTCCTTTCTAGAATGGTTTTCCTTGTCCTTTGCTTCCTTCATGCTGTTTCCTGTGGCGAGCAGGCGAACTTGTCTCTTGCTTCTCCATCATTTTCTACGTCTCTCTTAGCAGTTGCCTTCTCTTCCTCCCGCACAGTTACAGCTAATGTTGTTGGTCATCTTTCCTCTAGTTTTACCACCTTCTGGTTAACCCTTCCCGCCGCTGCCAAAGATCAGGGAAGGTTGAAGAAGTCATTTGGTTTCTCCAAAAAGGCCCCATGGGGTCAGTTTCATTTGACTTGGTGAGTTTGTCCTGGACCAGCATCTGGCCTTTGGGGTGGAAGATTCAGAAACCTGCACTCATCGAGCTCATAGAGTGATTAAATCAGAGTGGAACAGTGAGAAATGTAGTTATCGCATTGACTAGAGTATCTAATCTATTCTCTCTTTTGAGCCTGAGCCAAATTATAAACATAAGGCTGTTTGCTACTCCCTCTGTCTCAATTATTCTCCTTCCTTCAGATATTGCAGGTTTTTCTTTTTATTCCCGATTTCCTGCATAAAACTCCCATATCCTTACATTCCCTGTCCTCCATATTTGCCTTATTTTCTTCTGTAACACTTCTCACTATTGAAACATATAGGAGTTCGTTTATATTTTAATTGTCTCCCCTCATCGTTGTGTAATGAGCTCCAAGATAGTGGGGAATTTCGACTCTTATCTACCACTGTAGCCTTAGTATACAGAAAACTGTACACAGCAGGGATTTAATAAATATTTACTTGCTGAATGAATGAATCATTGATTTTTATAATTTGAAAGTTTAATGGGTTTATGCTAAATTCTCTTCACAGTACAGATGGCCTTGCCAGTTGGACAGTAATACTTGGAGTTTGCTAAGCATGCTTTCTCCCGAACAATGCCTTTTAGAAGGGCAAAGTCAAGTGTTCCTGAGAATCTTTCTCTTTTTTTGGTAGAGAATTGATCAACACCTCTTTGCCAAGACAAATTTCTTTAAGTGTGTTGATGGTTTAGGGTCTTTGAAATGCTCTCATATTTAGATCCATTTGGTCTCTTCGGGGTGACTTTGCAGCTCTAGACGACCTACTGAGTGTTGCTTCTAGCTGTTTGTTTTTGAAGATGCTTTGTTTTTCTGGTTTCTCTGTACTTTTTCATTTTGTCACTCCCTGCTTCACCCTCCCGTGTTCAGTGACACTGGACTACTCGACACGCAAACTCAGGGTTCTCCTCTGTCTCGGCTGCAGGCCCCTGTGCATGCCAGCAGGTGTGCCTGGCACGTCTTATCTTTCCCCCGCTCATCTGGTTGGCAATCCTTCCCTAAGCAGTTACGTGCTTTTTTGGGGGGCAGGGGTGGCTTCTTCTTCCTCTTTCCGTGACTGAGCTGAATACATCCCTCCTTCCATGGTGCGTTTACCACGTTCCCTTGTCTCATGGTTATGGTACCTTCACACTGGATAGTTTATATTTCCCAGTAAATTGTAAGCTTCCTGGGCTCTGAAAGCATTTCAGTTATCGTTATATTATTATCTCTGAGTTCGGTGTCTAGTACAAAGTGAGTACTCAATAAATATTTGTGAATACATGTTTTAAGGCCATCACTAGTTTTCACTGCTGTAAGAAATTTTAAGAAGTTTGCTTTATTTTATTTTATTTTATTTTATTTTATTTTATTATTATTTTTAATGTTTTTAATGATTTTTGAGAGAGTGTGAGCGTGTGAGAGAGGGAGGCACGGAATCTGAAACAGGCTCCAGGCTCTGAATTGTCAGCATAGAGCCCGACATGGGACTTGGAGCCACGAACTGTGAGATCATGACCTGAGCCGAAGTCGGATGCTTAACTGACTAAGCCCCCCGGGTGCCCCTAGGTAGCCATTTTAAGTGGCATTATGTTAAAATTTTTCACGTATTTGGAGTTTCCCTTTTCTTGGATTTATTATTTCTTAAAATGAGGCTACCTTGTAAACTTTTTAATCCAGCTCCCTGGATATTGGCTGTCACTGTGTCACTTCCTATCCCCGATTGCAGTATAGAACTCACCCTTAGTAAGTAAATTAGCACATACGCCCCGCATGTTAGGAGAAGTCAGTCAATCTGTCTCCAGTTGAGAGAAGGATTTCTAACCTTCCTTGACTACTAGTCACTTTCCCGAATCAGGTGTGGCCTTATCATCTGCTCTCCGGTGAGAGCATCCCGCGAGCATTTGGCACAGTATCACTCTTAACATCTTAGCTTGGATTTTATTTCTGACCTCTGGTGGAGCTCATTGCTTTTTGTTTTGTTTTGTTTTGTTTTGTTTTGATTTTTTTTTTTTTAGCTTACATTTAAATGTTTTAAAAGCATTCTTCCCATAATTATTTCTTACAAGAGAAAATGATGCTTCTCATCAAAATCTTGACAGAGTTTTTTATTGCTTTCAAATTAAATAAGGACATATTAAATTTTATATCAGTTTTTCATTTGGGGAAAAAGCTCACATTTGCAACACATTTTATTGTATGTTAGTAAATTGTTGAGGTTACTAATTAGAGTCTACAGAATTGTTCTGATTTCTTACATTTCTATAGAAGTATAAGGGAGTACATTAATTGCTTAACCAATGAAGAAGTTAACATTTTCAGGTCTTGCCAGATTCTGGGTGATCTGAGAGAAGATTATTTATTTGAGAATGCCTTTTATTTATTTCTTTTTTTTTTAAATTTTTTAAAGTTTATTTATTTTGAGAGAGAGAGTGAGACAGTGTGAATGGGGCCGGGGGCAGAGAGAGAGAGAGAATCCCAAGTAGGCTCCATGCCATCAGCACAGAGTCCGATGTGAGGCTCGAACTCACCAACTGCGAGATCATGACCTGAGCTGAAATCAAGAGTCAGATGCTCAACTGGCTAAGCCACCCAGGCGCCCCGAGAATGCCTTTTATTTCTTCAATAATGTTTTATCTTCTCTCCTAAATCCTCTCTCCAGTGTTTGCTTACTCCTTTATCGTTATATTTGTTATGTTGAGTATATAAATGTTGGTCCACATGATTCATTGTGCGGTTTCCGGTGCTCTTCTAGTTTTCTGAGCTGAGCTGTTTCAGCTTCACTGCCACCTGTCTTAAAAGCTCTTATTTCCAGACGGTCTCTTGGGTGGTAGAGACTCCCCACAGGGGAAACGTGAATGGCACATGTCTGTCAAATATGGTGATGAGATAGCTATGTGGATGTGATTCCGAAAAACAGGTGAGAAGGAAGTTAACGATGATTGCTAATGCATATTGAGTGCTTCATGTATGCCAAGCACAGTGCTATGAAATGTATATTCTTTCCTATATTTAATCCTCAAAACAGCCTTATGAGATTTTTTTTTTTTTAACAGATGAACAAACTGAAGTGCAGAGAAGTTAAGGAACTTCAGTTGTCATGTAGCTGGTGGTTAAGACCAAGACTTACCTATTAAATCCATCAGATACTTTTGTGGGTTAAGAGAAGCAAGGAATCCTATCCAGTGTAGTTGGCAGAGAGGGATCGTTTGGGAGCAGAACAATCTTTGCATTATAGAGACTTTTGAAATGGGCCCTGAAAGACAGGTAGAGTGTGAAATTACATATGGAGGTGTATTCAGTTTCAAATTACCATGAACTGGCTGGCTTAAAACTACACACATGTATTATTTTATAGTTCTGGAAGTCAGAAGTCTAACACAGATCTTTTTTATGCTAAAATCAAGGTGTTGGTTGGACTGTGTTCTGTAGGCTACTGGAGAGAATCCATTTACTTCCTTTTTTCGGCATCTAAAAACCACCCATTTTATTTGCCTATGGTCCCCTTCTTCCCTCTTCAGAGCCTGCAACATTGCATTTCTTTCTGTCGTTTTTCCCTCGTCTCATTTCCTCCCACCCTGACTCTCGGTCCCACTTTTAAATGA